AAAAATGAAGATTCTGCAAACTACTTGACATCTAAGGTGTTGCTAGCTAGCACTAGATTAGCACAACATCTGTATAGAAGGCATCAAACAAGTTTTTTTTTTAGGGATGTAGCATATGTGCCAAGTTTCAGGAGGAATCTGATATTTGTTGGGAAGCTTGACGAAGATGGTTACTGAAGTGAGTTTGCATATGATAGCTGGAAGCTAGTGAGGGGATCTGAGGTAATGACATTGGGCCACATATAAGCATTAGTATATGTGTCAAGATTAGAGGTTGCCAAGGGATCTTAAAGATAGAGTATGCACAGGGCTGTAGATGATTCAAGGCGAGACTTGAAAAGACCAGCAGTAGTGACAACCAAGACAAAAAAATAAAAATTTGTCATCAATTCAAGTACAACAACTGGGAAATAGAGAGAGGGAAAAGGGGAATAACTCAGTGAGCTGATCAACAGGTTGTCTGTTTCTAGCCCTAGTTGTCAGACGATTTGGCGAGCTGATGAAGTCGCGTAAGTGAAAGAGTGCATCAAGGGAGAAGACTACAATGGGTACTGAGGTCAATAGCGAAGTCTTTAGGGTGGAAATGGACTTCAGTAGGAGTGTCAAGTCATCATAGGGGAATCTTCCTTCAGATGTCGTTGGGTTTAATCGAGGAAGGAAGCATCGGGGTCCACTTAGATTGAGTTGGACCAGTGGCAGTGTCTCTCGCATATGGGAGATAAGAGCACGTAAGATTTCTCAATTTCAGAGCACTCACAGACGAAGCTTGGATAGGGTCGAGCATGTGAGAATCAGTTACTGTTTATGCAGTTAAAACTGAGTCTTAGCCAAGTTGCTAAGATGAAGGACATTGTCGGTGCATTTGGAGGCAAAGAATTGTGCTTTGACTCCAACTGGAAGATTGTTGGGATTGGTGGAGCCAAACCACAATCGAAGCGGAAAAGAATTGGAAGAAGAAGGGATTAAGAAATGAAGAGGTGCTGCAGAAGCCTACTGATCCAAGGAGGCTAGAGTGTCTCAATGCTGCGAACATATAGACGGAAATAACATAGGCGCGTAGGTGTGTTTTTTCTGATGTTTCATGTCCGTAGAGTTGAGACGCTAGGGTAGCGTCTCCACACTACCTCTAAATACTTAAGGAACCTTGTGTGTTCGTTTAGGGTAATGGGATTAAAACCTTTTATAGCCGATTTTGGAAGAGATTTTGTGGCAAATCAAAGGCAACAGGTGAGGTGTTGGCAACATAGAAAGGATTAGATCAAGATTGTTGTTTTGTAGTAATTAGATCTTGATTATTATTGTGAATTCTTCATTTCTGTACTTAAAGTATAGTGTTTAGAATACTTAGAAGCTAGAGAGTTTTTCTTGGGACCTCCAGAGAGTGAATATCAGGGGATATTCGTAAGTGCTTGTATCCAATTCTCATATAGTGAAACCTGCATCTGAGCGGAAGATTGAATGTAGCCCATAGTTGGGGTGAACCAGTATAAATCTGTTTGTGTCGTTTTTTGCTCTCCCTTAATCTCTTATTTGTGTGATTGAATTTTGTTTGCCGGATAACTGTGGGAGGGGGAAATTGTGTGGAGTGCCTAATTTCCCAACCATGACTTTCTTTGAGACCTACTTACTAATTGTGCTTGGCTTAAGACTTCCTTTCTTCAAAGCTTTCTACTCAAGTGAGGAAAGGTGCAAACCTTTACGGCCTTCTTTTTGCCCAAATGATAGGTTTGCAAAGGGAGTCTTTACTTTTCTTTCTCTTTTCATTTCCGAAAAAGAAAAAAAAAAGTTATAAGTAAATCGTTGTTCCATCTTACCTAGTTTCACAAAAGACCCAACCACACATCATACAGTATTGCCTTCTTCCCTCAAATAATATTTACCATACAATTATTTATTTTAGGTTCACCTTCTTTCTCTCAAATGATATTGATCAATACAATTATTTATTGTAGGTCCATCTTTTTGTTCACTACACAACAAGTCACTGGAGTAGCCCGACAAACGTACTTATAGCTAGATATATATGCTCTACATGATACTGATTATGTAGTTGCACGTTTTCATTTGTGTTCAAATTTGTTTTCCAAGAAAATCGATGGTCATGGAGAGTAGTACGTTGACAACATCAGCCATTTACTTTAGGACATAAAACTTAACAATTTTTTACTTACACTAAAGTGGGTGAGACATGTGTTCAAGACGTAATTTTATACCAAACAAAGTATATTATATACAATGAAATTGTATAAAATTGAACCATCAACTTTTTCTTTTCTAAAACTTCAAAGAAAATATAATATATAATTAAATAGAATGATCATTTACAACTTGATTTCAAACTTCTATCTAGACGTAAACTTTTCGTTCCAAACTCACACAAACTCCGATCAATAAGTTTACGTTAAGTTCAATACATCGTGTCAAACTCTCTTTGAAGCAAATTTCCGGTTTTGCAAACTTCTTTGAAGTAAAATTTTGGTTCCGGCCGGACTCATACAAACCCAAACCGAGCCCAAGGAGTTTCACTTTTTATTTTTACATTGCGCCAAACTCTGTATGAGGAAAATAAATTACAAAACTTTTTGTGAATAATTCGTATATCTAATAACTAAATTACAAAACTTTCGTATAAACAACCCATATACCCTGTAAATGAATTACAAAGTTTGTCTGTAAATATTCCATATACCCTAAAAATAAATAAGTAAATCTCCTAGCTTTTGAAAATTTTAACTAAAAACTTAGTAGCATTTTTTCGTATAAATTAATCATACCCTATAAATAAATTATAAAATTTAAATTGAGTATAACTCAACTGGTTAAAACATATGTCAATTTTCAAATCTTACTCAATTGGTCAAAACATGTATTACTGAATAAAAGATCGTGTGTTCCTACTCCTACTCTCATATATTGCTATAATATAGTTGAGACATATGACCAAAAATTCAAAAGTTGGGACTTCTCCATGTTAACTTTTGAATGCTCTTTGAAAACTTTCACTCTTTCAATTTGAAATCTCTTGAATTTTGGAAAACTTAGCAAATTTAAACTTCTTCATTCTAGGAAATTTAAACAAAAAATTTAGTAGTCTTTTAATTGTATAATAATACATTTATAAATAATTTAGAAACACTCAAATACATTAGAATGGGGTTTGTTATGCTTCACGTCATTTTAGTGTTTTTTTTTTTTTCATATGTTAGTTGAGAAATATAGTTTTAAAATTTCTAAAACCCTTGGAGGGATGAAGATGAAAAATATACTCTTATTTTATATATTTATTTTATATTTTATTAATTTATTATGTTTAAATATTTGAATTTAATTATAATTTAATATTTTGTGACAGATTGAAAATATTTAAAATAATAATTTAAAAGCACAATTTTAGAGGATAATGCGAACTTCACCAAATTGGTTGGAGATAGCTCAACGGATAAAATACTGACATGATTTTTATAGCGGGATGCTTCAAATGGAGAGTTATGACACGATTATTATAGCGGGACGCTTCAAACGGAGAGTTATGGATTTTTATGATACTTTGTAAATAATAATCAAATTAGGAAACATAATCTTAGAGATGATTGTCAAAATTAATTAACTTACAGTTAATTGATTTTGGTTTAGTCATTTAAGATTTTGAAGGTATATGCCAATTATCGTTGAACTATGCTCGCTTTGACATTAAAATATTTTCTTTAAACTTGATAAAATATCAAATAACATGTGACATTTTATTTCCTAATGAGTTTTATTTGAATAATCGTTAAAAAATAAAAATAAAAAGATTCTCATGTGTGAGTACAAAATTTATAGGACTTTAAAAAAAAAAAAAAAAAGACTTTGTGAAGTTTAAAATGAGTTATTTAATGGTCTTTTGTTAATGGAACAAACGGTGTGTTTTTTGGAGTGATGGTAATTAGTAATTTTGAAAAATACCACACCTTAAAAGTCAATTTAAAGTGATTTTAAGCGAATAATTTTAAATTTTTGTCCAAAATCACTCCCAACCCAAACACACCCTTATTTTTGTCCAAAACATGATTTTAAATTAGTAAGTTTTTGGAAAATTTTACATATCTTTTGGTTCAAATTAGTAGGTGAATTTAGTGAAAATTTAATGGATAAAAATCGCAACACTTATTTAAGTTTGGGATTCGTTAAGATGAAATTAAATTATGGTAAAAATCGATATAACTGGCTCAGTTTAAGTTGAAAATTATTTATTTATTTACTTTTTTTTGGTTTTTTACTTTTAATAGAATCTAATGTGAAGAATTCCAAAAGTTCATAAAATGTCTGTAAATGAGACCTTAGAGAAGACTTTTTGTCCACTCGTAGCCATAAAAATTCCCACGAGTGGTTTGAAAAAATCCCCTCTTTCATGCTCTTATGGCTCCAAATTTATGAGAGAAAAAGAGTGCTCACTCACTTAAAAATGTGAGTTTGGGACAACTTCGTCACTTTAAAGTCCTTTATTTGTGTTCAAAAGAATATTCAAAATTGCTTCTAATTAGCTAACTAAACCCTACGAAATTTAGCTAAAACGCTCCCAACACTTTCCAAAGTCATCCTAAACTCGTAACAAATATCCGCTGCCAACATGAGGACTAAAAGATAACATTAGGGAAAAAAAAGTACTATAAATAGATATACAACATTAAGAGGGAATAAATTATAAATATTTTGTATCGAATGATTAAATTATATATTTATAATGTTACATTAAAGATCATACTTAAGGAGTAAGAAAACACTAATACTTGACCAGTCAAACTAGGTTCATGTTTCTTACGGAAAAAGAAACGTAAAAATAAAAACACGTTTTTAAAAGGATATTCTCTTCAAGAAGTGACAACAAAACAAATTAATTTTTTTTAAGTCCCTCTCATGAGAAGAAAAAGTGATGACCTCGATTATTGAAGACACTATTGTTTCGTTCTTCTAATGTTAACTCTTAATATTATCAAATATTATCCATGCATATGCTTCTATGGCCCAAATTTAGTGTTTCATATCTCTTTATGCATAATCACAACCAGAATCTCTTGGGACGGTCCCCTGAATGTAGGAAAGCAAAGCTCCGACTCTCACTCCCAATTATTAAAAAAAAAAAAAAACCATCGGAGAAACTACTTCATTTTCAACTCCTAAGAAACAAAAAAACAAAACAACCTAAATGCACAATAAATTTCAGAAAGCAATTATCTTGGACCAGACAACACATCAGGAGGAATTTGGGAGAAGGAATCAATAACCTGAGGAGTTGTAGTGTGGTGGTAGGAATGGACCATATTGTTGAAGCTTTGGCGTGAGCTCTCTTCTTTTTGCCACTCCTCCCATCTTTCAGCCAAACCATCGCCTTCCAGCATTTTTATTACCTCCGACATGTTAGGTCGCTCCACAGGGGAGCTCTGTGTGCAAAGTAGCGCGACTTGAATTAGCTGCTCCACTTCTTCCTCTACGTAATTGCCCTCGAGATCGGAATCAACCAACATTTCCAGTTTCTTATCATTCAGAAGTCCTTTTACCTAGTTGACATGTTAGCCACCTTAGAGAAATGTATATGTTTATTACAGCTACAAATAATGAACACCAACACGAACTTAGCTCAGCGGTAATTGACATCTATCTCTAACCAAAAGGTCATAACTTCGAATCCCCCACCCCACTTGTCGTACTTAGAAAAAAAAGATACAGCTACAAAGGATGGATGACTAAAAATTAAACGAATTCATTTTCATGCACTTTTATATGCACCCTAATGGATAACATGAGACAATAGTGAATATTATCTACTAAGGATGAATAAACCACCGCTCAACCCAAAAGCTTAAGTTGATGGGTTGGGTAAATTTAATTTATTTATGGATATCTCAACACAGCCCAACAAGTGAAAATTGAAATCATCATAAATGGGGAGGAAACAACAATGCAGGGGTTCGAACACAGGATCTCACGCTCTGTCACGCTCTGACACCATATTATGGATGAATAAATCACCCCTCAATCCAAGAGCTTAAGCTGATGGGTTAGGTAAATTTAATTTATTTATGTATATCTCAACATTATCATTAAATGCTGAATTTAGAGTAGCGAGCAGTCAATACATACCCAATCAAGCAGCATGACGTCGTCATCTTTTGCTAGCCGAGCAAGATCAAAGGCTTTCTGTCCAGTAACAAGTTCAAGAAGCATTACTCCATAACCAAAAACGTCAGTTTTCTCAGAAGACCTTCCAGACGAGAGGTACTCTGGTGCTATATGCCCAATTGTTCCACGAACAGCAGTTGTGACATGAGTATCCTTGTAGTTCATGACTTTAGCCAATCCAAAATCTCCAACAACAGCCTCAAATTCCTCATCTAATAATATATTTGCAGCTTTCACATCACGGTGAATAATTTTAGGATCACAATGAATATGTAAATATTCAAGTCCCCTTGCAGCTCCCAAAGCAACTCGTTTACGTATTGCCCAGTTGAGTGGTGGCTGGCATTGCTTACGCTCTAGAATATTTAAAATAGGTTAGTAGAAGATAAATTGGTCGTATGAAATGAAGGCAGAGCAAAAACCACTGATTTTGGTTTCAAGAACTAATGTTGAGTCGGATATTTTAGCTTTGTAAAAATGATAACATATAAAGGAACGGAGGTCCCCAGTGCCTCAGTTCTACATTTTGTCCAACTACAACATAATTACCTAATAAATAAGAAACACAAAATAAAAGTAGATTTTAAAAAACGACCCCCTTTCAGGAGGAATAACAAAGATTAAGTCAAAGAAGAGTACCTCTTAAACATGATGCCAGGCTTCCATTAGCCATAAAGGGATATACAAGCAATCGTTCAGTTGGTGACATGCAAAACCCATTTAGACGAAGTAGATTACAATGGACAGCCATGCTGATCATCTCTATTTCAGTCTGAAATTGGAACTCCCCACCCTCAGCACGCTCCTCCTTCAGCCGTTTTACAGCCACAAGAGAACCATCAGCCAAACGACCTTTATAAACCTTTCCAAATCCACCTTTGCCCAAAAGGTTCTTGGGGCTAAAATAATCAGTGGCAACTTGCAGCTCGCGTAGGGAATATTTTTTGAGCTGCCCCAGGTTAAGTTCTGGATCTTCTTCAGCTGCATACAAGTTGATGTAATAAAATAAAAGCGTTACACAGGAACAAGTAAAACTATATTCATACAAATAAAAGTTAACATTTCTTCTAATTGACCAACCCGGTACATCAAGAAAATGATCTTGTGACTTTTTCCGTCGCAAAAGAGTAAATGCAATAGCAAGCACAATAATCAGCAAAGCAGCAGCAGCAGCAACTATTCCAGCAATGACTCCATTGGCACCATCACCTACAGCAACAAAGAGTCATGATCTATCCGAGTCCCTTGAAAGAAGCAAACTCCATTTTAAAAATAATAATAATAACAATTAAAAATATGTGTATCAACAAAAACTACGGGGTGAGAAGTTTAATTAGCCTTGGACTTTTGGTATACATGGGAATCAAGGGAATAGCTAACGTGTCACAATCATATATGGATATCCCAGTAAGATATAAAATCACAAAAGACTATGTTATGATGCAAGCCAAAGAGCAGTAAGAGTTCCCACCAAAGTGGTCTTGCTGTATAATCTTGATCCCACAGATCAACCTTGGGAGTCAAAGCACCAAGAATGGTCCAACCTTGGTTTCAAGCAAAATTCTCATGGCCTCAGGGTACCCACAAACAATGAGAATTTTCTCACGTAAAAATGGGTTAAGCATACACCTAGAGCTGATGGGCTCTTTAAAGTTTTTTATTTTTACATCAATCATCATGAAGCATCCATCAAGGTAGCCTTCCCTCCCACCTTATTTTGTAGAATCTGTCCCCATTTAACACCTTCACAACATTGCCACATTTTAGACCTTCCATGCTTAAAGCTGGAGCAACCTCTCCCATGTTCAGTTGCTAACCTATAGGCTCTCTTCTCAGGTAAAAAAATGATGGTTTGCATTCAAACAAGGGGCAGGTGCACTACTCATACCATTTTTTACTCTTTCCTATAGCCATTTTTCTACAGGTTTTCGAGATTTTACTACACGTGTAATGGAAACATATAGATACCAACCAACCGTAAAATATCCTCGATGGAAAACATGAGTGGAAGAATAAGTACAAAAGTAAAGAAACACATGGGATACAAGTGAATATTCAATGTTAAGTACAATGCAAATAGAATCATATATAAATCCAAAGCTCGAGTTGTTGCAAAAAGTTTTAACACAGCCTTACGATAGGGACTACCAAAAAGCTCTCTCACATGTGGCARAACTCCACTATACGTTTTCTCGTCTCTTGCTGTCAAATTGGACTGGAATTAATTACAATTTGATGTTGAAAATGAGTTTCTCAACAGAGAATTGGATGAAGAAGTGAACATTTAAGTTCCTGCAGAAGTCCGAACTCAAATCACAAAAGAATTTTGGGAAGGTATGCAAACTTCAAAAGTCTTTATATGGACTTGCTCCAGAAACCACCCTGAGCCTGGTTTGATTAATTTACCAAAGCTATCAAATAAATTGGATATAACTAGGGTAAATCAGCTTATACCTGATCTGCAAATCATAAGTATTTGCCAAAGGAAATACGTCCCAGATCTCTTAAAAGGAACATGTAATGTAGGAGTGCAAACCCACATAAATACAAACTTAAATTTTAACTCTGCAAGTCGCAGGAACTCCTATTGATAAAGGAAGATATCAAAGGCTTGTAGAAAAGATCATTTACATTTCTCACACTGACCAAACATCGGATTTGCAGTGTAGTCAGTCAATACATGAATAGTCCTAACGAAGAACAAAGATGCAGACTGGGAAAGTGGTACTCTTTATTGAAGATCTACTAGGTTGTTACACTTATGTTTGGTACAATCTAACCACATGGAGGAGAAAGAATCAACCCATTGTCTCGAGATGCAGAGCAGAAGCATAATATAGAGCAATGGCTGATGGGATCTGAAAAATTGGCTTAACAGAATCCTCATGAAAATAAATCTGCCAATTGAGAGTCCCATAAAGATGTTTACTCGCAATCCGAGTACCCATAAGCATAGTAAAGAGTCCATGCAACATGATCGAACAAAACACATTCAAATCAATCGAAATTTCATCCAAGAAAAAGTCAAAGGGAAAATCATCTTTACTCCACCAACATGCAAATTCTTGTTAGATATCCAATATATGAACTAAATTTACCTAACTCATCAGCTTAAGCTTTTGAGTTGAGTGGTGATTTATTCCTCCTTAACATGATATTAGAGCGGAAAGTCCTATCTTCGAACCCCTGCATTGTCGTTTCCTCCCCATTTATTATGATTTTCCATTTGTCGGTCTTTGCTTTCAACTTAAGCTTTTGAGTTGAGGAGTGGTTTTTTCATCTCGAACAATTCTAGACAYCCTTACCAAGGGCTAAATTTGAAGACCTTAAATGCAAGCAAAGTTAGATAAATATATAAAAACCTAGCTTGAAGGGAATGTCCTAATTAGTGGTTGTGTACTTTATTTCCTTTACCACGCTATCACAATTAGTTTCTTTTTTCTTCTTCCTTGTACAGTAGGGACACTAGATCTTTCTTTCCTTTTTACTCTTCTGGCTGTTGAATCATTATTTTTTTCAAAAAACTTTTAAGTGTTAGATCGACTATGTGCTTGAAGGTAAGAATATAGGGTTATACAAATTATGAGTTTGATAAAAATAACAATATATTATAACTACTTTCCTTGTTTTTTCTTTATTCGACTATGTGCTTAAAGGTAAGAGAATATAGGGTTATACAACTGATGAGTTCGATAAAATAAAATAACAAAAAATTATAGGTTTCATAAATTACAAAAAGGTAAAATGATGAATTACATACCTATTGTACAACATACTAACCAACATACCTGAAGTTGTTTGTGGTGCTTCAGTAATTGGGGGAGATGGAATAGATAGAGGAATATGAAGAGGATTATTAGCAAAACTGTAAAAATTGAAAAGCTATCAGCAAGACCTTTCTTAAACTTATAGTTACATCATACCATGACCAATTTATACTAAAACACGTCGAAAATATTAATTAACCTGATTGGTGTAAAAATAGCAAACGAACCATTGACAGGAATGTCTCCTGATAGATGGTTATTTGAAAGATCCCTGAAACAAAACAGGGTGAATGGTTCTGTCATCTAGAGAACATGTAAAATAACTACGATGACAAGAAGAAAATGTAAAGAGGAAGGATCTCATTATCAATAGGTAAATTATATACAAGACTTACAGGATTTTTAGTGGAACATTGGTTAAAGACATTGGAATGGCTCCCGACAAACTGTTGTTGTTCAGACGCCTATTTATCACCATGAACAAAGACAAAAATAAAAGCTGTTTTTCGGGAGAATAAGAGGATTCCAACAAAAGCATGATGATAGTCGAGAATCAGTGTTTATGCAATTGCCACCATCAAACCATTAGAAACATAATCTTGTAGACTCAAATTCTAAAAAGTTCTAGTCATTGTGATGTCAAGAAACATAAAATGAAACTGTCATAAATATTAAATAGAAAATGATTCCCTCTTCTTTCTGCAATGGTCATTCGGAGAAAGAACAAAGAATGAAGTTTTTCTTGAACTAGAAACAATTTACGGAAGAGATAAAATGTAATAAAGCTGGTCAAAGATATTGAAATGGTTCCCAACAAACTATTGTTGTTCAGACGCCCATTTATCACCACCAACAATGACATAAATCAAAGTTGTTTCCGGGGGGAGTAGAGGATTCCAACAAAAGCATGATGATAGTCGAGAATTAATGTTTATGCAGTCGCTGCTATTAAACCATTAGAAACATATTCTTGTAGACTCAAATTCTAAAAAGTGCTAGGTCATAGTGATGTGAAATTTTCATGTACATTAAATAGAAAATGATTCCATGTTCTTTCTGCAATGGTCATTCAGAGAAAGAATAATGAATGAAGTTTTTCTTGAATTAGAAACAAACTGATAAGATCAAATGTACCAGAACTGAACAAGAAGTCATCCAACATCAAATGGTAAAAGGTGACTTTGAAAAGATTGTCAACTATCATCTACCAATTTCATCCACATACTTTAAGCATACTAGATCCCCAAATTTTAAAAAGTTCTAATTATGTCCCTTCACTTAAAATTAGGTTTACTTTTAGTTCTTATTGTCAAGGGCTCAAGATTAATTAATGGAATGTAGACATCACAATGTATTTATTGAAATTTAGATGAGGTGACAGTGATCTAGTAGTCAACTGGATAGATTGGAAATGAAAGGCAAGTAATCTGGTTAGAATAGATTTAAGGATATTTCTTAGGACAACTACACTTTTAAATTTTTAATTCCTGAATTTTTATTTTTGTGTCTATTTGGTCCTACGTTCTAAAATTTTACAATTGAAATCCTTGAGTTTTTAGAAATAGGTCTAGAAGGTGTCTATTGTTAGCTATGGTAATTGACGGATTAGATTAGGGAGATTGGTTGAGAAGATACTCAACCAGATCCCCAAGTAGCTTTTAGATCACATAATCCAATCCAAATTTCATGAAATGAGTGTCACATCTGCAATCTATCAGCTGAGTCAAAGTTTAGGAATGTAATAGAAACTTTTTAAAGTTTGGGATGAAGTAGACATCCAACTCAAAGTTCAATAACTAAATAGACATAATGCTTTAAAGTTTATCTCTAACAAAACTCAGAAGTTTCTTTGAGATTTCTTGTGAGAAGTTCATGACGAAAGTTGTTACCAGGTCAAATGGAACAATGCCATTCTCCCTAAGGGCCAAGGAGCTTCAGTACAGGCAAATTCAAGGATAAAATCAAGGCCCACTTCTGAAATTTGTGAAGACTTTTTAATAGTAAAGAAGAACTCTGGAAGCAAACTTAAGTCCGGGTGGTCTTCAAGTACAATAAGCCCATGGACCATATTGCAAACCTCTCCTCTTTCTTCAGTCTCAACATGAGAATTTTTTTAAACTACGCTAACTATTTTATAAATGCATTTTAGGAAAAATAATGAAAGATATGCTATAGAGACGATCAACAGATCAGGCATAGAAGATGTTTCAATAATTCTGATGATCTCTCATCTCTCAATAAGTTTTTTTGAGAAAAATCGTGCAATCAACCTATTAGTAAACATATTCATTTCTCATGAAATTTCAGCAGAAAATTGATATAACAAATGGCAAAAGAGAAGTAATAAGATGAAAAGGAAATACTAAATAAAATTTACCCAACTAACAAATCGAATAGTGAGGACAGTATTCATACAAAGCACTTAGTTTTGTAAGCTTGCCCAGAGAGTCAGGTATGGGACCGCTTAAACTGTTAGAATAAAGATCCAAGCTCTCCAGGTTTTTCAAATTTCCAAATCGTTCTGGAATTGATCCACTGATGTTATTGTTGTAAAGTTCCCTGGCAAAGAGATCAATGCATGATTTCAAGTGTTCAAACCACATTATGCATATAAAAAACATAAGATATCCTCCTAACATCATTATCATTACTGTATATTTTATTATGTTCAATCGACTTTGTTCTAAAAGGAAAAAAAAAATAGTTAAATTACAAGTTTGGTCCTAGACTTTTAGGGGTACATCTATTAAGTCCTTGTACTTCATAAGTTTCCAAAAGGTCCCTAAATTTTTTTAAGGTTGTGCTATTGGTTCATGTACTATAAAAAGTTTCGAATAGGAACCTAAACTCTTAATTGTGTATCTAATAGGTCCTATTGTTAAGTATATTGGTTTAATGTTTACGTGTACACCAGTGTTTTCGAGGCGCACCCGGGCGCTCGCCTCAGGCGAGAGGCGAGGCGTTTTCGCCCAGGCGCGCCTCGCAAGGTGCCCAGGCGAGCGCCTTCAATCGGGCGCTCGCCTTTGGGTGCCTTGGTGCGCATGTCGCCTGAGGCAAGGCAATCGCCACCTTCAAGGGGGCGATCTGTCCTTTTTTTTTGGTTTCTTTTTAAAGGGTTTTCTTTTTTAAAAACCCTCCCTTACGCATGACACTCTCTGCCTCCCCTCCCTCTCGACATTCACGATTCACCTTCAAAAACATCAATCTCCGCCGGTCGTCGTCCGCTTCCATGTCTCCGACCATCGTCGTCACCACTGTCGTCAACCGGCCTCGCCATCGGCTACCGTCGCAGCCGCCGCCGCCGCCTCCATTGCAGTCGCCCACTCCGATAGTCCGACTTGTAGGTTTTTTTTTATTTATTTCTTATATCTCATTTACTCCTTTTCGTTTCCTCTCTTTTATTTCACACAAAAGTTTTCTAAATCTTTGGCTTTCTTCACACTTCACAATGACTATTTAGTCTTTCCTTAACATTTTTTTTTATCTTCCAAATTTGAATTATATTAGGATGGAAAAAGGTGGAAACAAACACAAGCATCCAGTTGGCAATACATCGTATTGGATGATCCGAAAGATGCAAACACGTGCAAATGCATGTTTTGTGGAAAAATTACCAAAGGTGGAGTTTTTTTTTTTTAACAAGAAACAAACTTCTCATTGAATTAATGAAAAGGAATGACAATGTTCAAAGATACAAACTCTCGAATGAGTGAAAATAAAAGAAAATTACAAGTAAATGGAAAAGAACAAGATAAGCTTAAGCATTAAGAGATAAGGTAAAAGCTCCCCAATTGAAACAAATAAGTGAGGGAGAAAAGTTTTTGAACAAAGGTGATAAAGAGCTCCACTGTGAGGATTTGAATTTAGCCAAACTGAAATGATCCAGTGGAGATTTACGACGATCCTTGAAAATTCTGAGATTTCTTTCATACCAAAGCTCGTAGAGCGGGGCTTTGACACCATTTGACCACAACAAGCTACTTTGAAAAGATAGAATTGGGCCTAGGAGTAATTGAAGGATATTATCCACTGCTATGTTGCTGAAAACCCAAGAGAGATTGAATTCTTTAAATAACAAGAACC